ACTTTCACTTGTCCATATGGTACATTTGCCTATCGGTGAATTTCATTTGGATTGTGTAATGTGATTGATTCTTTTGTTTAATCGAAGAATGTGTGTGTGAATGGTTCGAAATTTAGGAGAGTAATCCTAGAGGAAGCTGATAAAAGGAACTTCACGATCCACCCTGGTTCTTCTAAGATATATCAAGATTTGAAGAAGAATTTTAGGCGACCTGATATGAAAAGAGATATTGCAAAATATATGGGCAGACTCATAGTATGTTAGTAAGTCAAGATTGAGCACCAGAGACTAACCTTTAGATATACCTGAGTGGAAATGGGAAAGTATCTAGATGGACTTCATAGTAGGCTTACCTTGTACGCTTGGCAGTCCCAATTTGATTGGGGTAATTATGGAGAGATTAACCAAGTTAGCTCATTTCTTACCCGTCAAGACTATATATAAGGTTATTCACTTGGGAAGATTATTTACCATGGAGATAGTTCGATTGCATTGTGTACCAAAGATTATCATGTCCGACCGAGACTCAAAGTTCACTTCTAGGTTTTTAAAGACTTTCTATCAAGCAATGAGAACTAATTTGAACCTCGTTACCTCGAATCATCCTTAGTCAGATGGAAAAATAGGAAAAAAAACTATTCAAATAGTCGAGGATATATTGTGGGAATGCATTTGAGAAAGTGGAGGAAATTAGAAGGACCATTTACCTTTAATCGAATTTTCCTATAAAAATAGTTATGATTCGAGCATTGGAATGACGTCGTATGAAGCATTGTTTGGGAGGAAGTGTATGTTGCATCCTCAAAATTTCCCCTCCTAGTTATACTTCTAATTGTCTTATGTTTCTCTTCACATGCATACCCTTCATTAGGTCATCTAACAATGCATGCATTCATTTACATTTTAGGCTTTTTACTTGAATCAATGGACATGGATATTTGGGTTCACTTATGCATTATGATTTCCCAACTTTTGCATGGTTATCTCAACTAAAGGTTCAAGGATCATGGATTGGGGTTTGGCCCTTATCCACAAGATTATAAAATAATATTCGAAATATTTGTCATCCATCATCTAAAGCTAATTATCATCATATGATGTGATTGTAGTTGCTTGCAACACAAGTTATCATATAAGGTACCCAAAGGCTACAAACTCAGACATTGAAGGTCCTTATGGATTTTGTTCATAAATATATCTCATCTTCCAAAGGCTTTCATCATGGTTTAAAGTACAATTCATTGAGGATATTTTGATGTTGTCATAACACATTAGGGTTTGGCTCAAAGATACTTCCTACTATGCAAAACAAGACAAAGAGGCTATCATTGTAACGCCCTGTTTTAATTAATATTATATTATATTAATATTTTCGAGTTACCGATCGATATTTATTTTGCGTCGAGAATAAATATATTAATTGATATATATGATAATATATTTGGCGACGTTTCGTTTGATCGGGTTTTTATTCCGTTCGGTTTGGTAAAATATTATTCGGATCCGATATTTAATTCCCCAGAATTATTTTAATTAATTGAGTAAATAATATTATTGGATATTATTAGGTGTTAATTAATAATTAAGTTAGGGGTGTGAGAAGCAATTAGTGAGGATTGGATGTACACCCCTAGTTAGTAAGAAAAAATAAGTTATAAAACCATTTTCTTTCCCTTTTCCTTCCATTTTCCTACACCAAGCAAACATAGAGAGCAAGAGAGGAAGCTAGTAAGGAAAATACCACTATAAAACCTTTCTCCTCATTTTATTTCCATTCTACAACAAAAAGCCAAACTTGAACATAGAAGCTTGGAGAGAAAAAAGAGAGGGTTTTGGGAAGAAGAAGGAGAGCAAGAACAAGCATGAGGTTGGGGCTTTGATGGAGCATCTTGCAATCAACCAAGCTAGAGGTAAGGGGTTTGATTCTCCATCTCATATTGTTAGGTTTTGATAGATATATTTTGGATTTGGGGGTAAAATTGATAGTTGATTTATAGGGTTTTGTTGGTTGATTGTTGGAATGGTTTAGAAAATTTAGATTAGGAGTATGGTTTGTGGGTGTATTAGGTGCTAGCTTGTAGAAATTAAGAGTATTGAAATGGGAAAGAAAACCATGGTAGTAGAATGAGAAAAACTCAAAAGAATGAAGTTTTCACGCAGGTCAATCAACATGGGCTGTGTTGATTAACACGGGTGCCCGTGTTGACCTCTTGAACAAGAAAGGTTCGCTCCAGGTCCATCAACACGGGCCGTGTTGATTAACACGGGTGCCCGTGTTGATTCACTGACTTTGGTGATTTTGTGTTTTCTAGGGGCTTTTCGACACGGGTCGTTTTGATGCACACGGGGGCCCGTGTTAATGCATCTGTAACCTCCCATATTCTGATTTTTGCACTTCTTTTGCCCCGATTATGTTCCAATTTTCCGATTCCGGTAAATTCGACGACAGAGCAAGTTGCTCCGAATTCAACGAAAATTGACGTGCTAGCTAAGTTCGACGTGTAGAACGTAGTGGTGAGGTTAGTTTTTAGAAATTACGAGTTTTTGCGAGATGACCTGAAATAGGCCAATTTACGGTTAAATTGAATCGGATTGAGGTTTAGTCGATTTAAGACACGTTTGGACAATCGGATTTCGAGGTTGATGATTTTGATTGACGCTGATTATTAGGAATGACTTTCGCGACGATTATAGGTGTTTGACTATTTTCTGTTTTTGGAATTTAGTGAATGAATTGGTAATAATGTAGTGTGATTAAACGTAATGGTTGCGACGACGTATTAATTAATAAATACTTGATGATTTGCGATGCAATAGTATATGTATTTGTACATGATGATGTGATGATTATATTGATGTTGTTAATAAATGCTTCCGATTTGCGAATGCATGATTTTTGATGATGATGAATTATTGGTGATGTTTTGCATAATGCAAATATGATGCGATGATATATTTATCTTGTTTTGGATAAATTATGGCGATGTGGGCTTTATGCCAATTTTGATGAGCGATGATGATGTTTTTGTGTTGTGTTGTTTTATTATCGAGTCACATATATTGCATTGGCGACGATGGGCTTTTATGCCAAGCGACGAGGCTTTTATGCCAAGCGACGAGGCTTTTATGCCAAGTGTTCCTAATTATGGACAAAGCGACGGGTACCACATGCATAACAAAGTCGTGTCTCATGGAGTCGGTTATATTTATGTGTGAGTTGTTTGGCGTTGGGTTTTTAATTGATTGAGGATGATTGAATTGCGATGATGTATGATGCTTTGTTTGGTGATGATCTTTATGACGAATATGAAATGAATATAACTTGATAATTTCATGATAATTAGGCGATGAATATAAATGGTGAGTTTTGTGATGACTTAATTTAGATGAAATGCTTAATGCAATTATGATGTCATGATATTGGCAACGATGGGCTTTTTATGCCAAAAGCGACGATGGGCTTTTATGCCAAAAGCGACGATGGGCTTTAGCCAATTTGTGATGATTTGTTTATGTTGCTCATGTTGTTAGCATTGTTTAATGTTGTTGGTTGATGTTGTTGTTTATGATTGCCGTGTTAATTAGCGATGTATTAGCTTGTGACGATTTCGTGGTGACAGAGGTTTACGTGTTGTTGTAATGATTTGTGCCAATGAGGCTAAGGCGATTAAGTATAGATTATACACTTTAGAATGACGATAAGAGTAAGTGAGGTTTGGATATGTGTTGGAATGCACTTATTAACTTATATCCTTTACAATTCCAAAACTATATATATATTTTATCATGTCTTTAACTATATGTTTTGGATTATCTCACCCTTTACTTGTTTCGCCGTTACCTTTATATTGGTAACGTGCAGGTTATGAAGACGGAGTTTATAGCTGCTGTTAGTTGAGTCGGTGTCGCTCTGATACGTAGCACTCGGGAGGGAAACATTTATGTTGTCTTGTTGTTGATTCTTTTGTTGTTCTTCCTTTTGTATATAGAATCATACTTTATGAAAATATGATTTATTAAGGAAGTTTATTAAAGAATATGTTTTGATGTTTTTGAATCAATTTATATCTTCCGGCGATGCTATGTATCCGAGACTTATACTTTAAATCAAACTGTTTAAAGTGAGTTGTTTTTGAAGGTGTGATGCCTCAGTATTAAATTTATGAAATTTTAATTTACTCTGATTGTTGCATATAAAACCTTGGGTAATATTTGGGTGTTACAAAAGGTTATGGTTTCCTATTCATTATTTCTAAACATGACAACTTTTCAACTAAGGATCTTATGAATTAAAGTTTGGTCTTATGGGTATCTCAAGCATATTCTCTTTACCAAGATAAAGCTTTCTTCTAAGTCATGATCATGTGGTTTTCTTCACAAGGCTTCAAGGGTTTGAATGAGGATATATGGTCTTCTTTGTGGCTTTTGGTTCAAGTAATAACTCATATTCTTAAGTTCATTAATCGGTCAAGATTAGGGTTCCTCATCAGGTTAAGAGGTGTACTTGTGCTTGACTTACAAGACATTGATCAGAGTTCTTGTGCAAAAGAGAGATTCATTTATTCATCACTCAGTCAATACTAGGGTTTTGGTGTATGATTTCAAACTCAAGTTTTTGTGAGCATGTAATCCAAGCATTACTGTTAAGATTTTCTCAAGATTCAAATATGGCATGTGATTGGTTTGGATTCAATTCATGGGAGATTTCAATTGACTTCAAGCTCTAACTCAAGATATCATTTGGATCAAATTCCCTTTGACTTTGGTCAAAGTCAATATAGTTGACTTTTTTCCCAAAGTTATATTTGGTTCATGACTTTGACTTAAAATATTGGCCAAGTAAAACATGGAATCAAGAGAGCTTTCACACAAGACTTATTTAAAGTCTATTCAAGGTTCAAAACAAAACAACATCATCCAAAGATTTTATTCAATGTTCATCAATATACAATTCATTCAATTATACAAAGATGCACTACCATCCATCATCAAAATATTAGAGACATTGAACAAAAGAGAAGAACATTCAAGATTACATTCATGGATTTAATTTCAAGTGTACCAACACCATACAAAAAATCATTGCAAGAAGTTCACTACCAATGTCATTCAAGTATATCACATCACATCACCAAAAACCCAAACAAAACCTAAATCCTAATGTCTTAAGCCTCATCCTCAAGATGCTTTCATTTTCATTTCATCAAGTAGTAGTGTCCTTCATGCTATATCTTCACTTTCTTCAAGTAATCCTCATGCTTCAACACCCTTCAAGCTTCACACAAAGTTGCTGCATCAAGTTTATGCAACCACCATGGCCAAGCACAAAGCTATTTTACGACTAAACCTGCAAAAATTCATGACCTCATCAATACAAGTTTTAGATCCAACAATGCATACATTCATACACATACGCAGCCTGCATTAATTCCCAATCCAAACATCCCTGCACTCACTAAAACCAATCATATTAAGGCAGTACAAATGGCACAATATCACTTAGCAAAACTCAATAACCGACTGCTAAATAAAACAAAAATCAGCAAAAGACAAAATCATCATAAGGATATGCCCTTTGCTCTGCCACATTCATACTTCAAAACCAGGGTCAAACACTTAATTTATCTAAGTAGCAGAGAAAAAAGTTCACTAATCCTAATTCACTAAATTAATCTAATAGAAAATCATGAACACGCGCTAACTGGAGCTTAAGACACAACTTAACAAAAGGTAAAATTAGAAATACGAAGTCCAAGCTAACCGACTTACATGGAACAAACTAAACTGAACTAGCTCGCTTAACTGATTCAACATCGACAACTCAGCATAACAAACTCTAACCAATTCAATATTCACCATTAGATTCATAACAAACACTCTCAAGATCCTATGGCTGAGATCCATTCTTCACCAACTATATAAATCAAACTCCCTCGAAATTTCATGGCTACGCACCATAAATCTCACTAATCACTCTCAGATTCTCTTATTCTCTCACTCTATCTTCAAGCACCATTATCATCACCTTCATTCTTCTTCCATCACTCTACAACACCCACCATACTCTCAATCTCTCTCTATTACGCACCACCACTGCAAAAGCACCAACCACAACAACACTCACAAACAAAGTCGTTACGCATACACAAAAGATAGAGGAAGTAGAAGGAACAAGGTGCAGATAGAGACACGACCAAAAGAGGAGAAGAAGACAAAGATAAAGAACAACTATTCATACCTGAAAAAGATCTTCATCGCAGTTCAGTAATCCTTTATCCCTTCGCCATTCTTTTGATACACGTAGGTAGAATGAGTATTGAGGAATAAAACCCCTTACTTATTGAAATCTAAGGCTCAAAGATGGTGATTTAATTTGACTTAGAAAAACCTAGGGTTTGAAATTAAAATCAAGATCCAAAGAGATTAACAAAAAATCGATGAAAACGTTATGTGTATATAGATTTAGGACGGAGTAACAAAGGGAATGGCTCGTTGTTTGGGCATTTTGGATACAGACCACCGACGCCGGCGTGACGTGTAACATCCTTCTAAATCCACATATATTTTGCATATAATTTTATGAAAATAAAAAAAAATAGAATCACCAACAAGAGTGTCATATAAAACATTTGGTTCTGTAACACGAGTTTTAAAAATCGATTAAAACAAATACTTCATTAATGACAATGTCACTTCAACTTTTCGCAATGGAATTCATAGTTTCAAAAACACTTTATTAAAAATACTTCATAGGATCTTCATCATATATCTCATTTATTATTCACAACACAATTAAAACAAATACCATGAAAGGTAGTTTAAAACTTCAAATAAAATAAAATGACATAATCATTCAAAACAAACAATCACATCCTCGATGTTTCATATCAGAGCAAGACCTTTAAATTCTATAGGAAATAAAGAACACACTCTGCAACTATCCTTTAAGCCTCAACAAACTATTCTTAATTACATACACGTTACCCATGTATCCAAGAAGCAAGGGTGAGTAAATCATAATCATTATAAAAGATATAAGGAGTAAATATAGTAGTCATGATACAACACCAAAGGAACACACCATTAAAACCTCATGTCATACTCACACCTTCAAGCATTATAATGCACATCAGACACATGGTAATACCATCAATTAGCAATTATCATAAACACGCATTCCCAAATCATCATGCAATGCCACATATAATACAATGCAACTTTTTAGATTCATGCATGTGGTACCAAAAGTTCATTGATGACACCCTCGTTTTTTTTCAAAGATCCCCACCATTAGGATCGATTCCCGCTTGGAACCAGAGCACGTCATAAATTGAACCAAATCCACACTATGGGATTGATTCCATCAATGGACTATCCATCATACAAAACTCACTGGAACAATGTCATGCAGCCATCACTGGTCTACGCCCTAACTTATACCATAAATGCATATTGTGAAACATCTTAATAACTAAATAACCACTTCTAGTTAAAATGCATCATAATTCATGTAAGTATCATAAATATCAACACATACTTCATAACATAACACATCATCATCATAGCATCAACAATTCATTGTATACACATACATCATATAAAAACAATCACTGAATCATCTTATTCATCAACATGGATACTGAAAAAACACATCATATGACTCTTTTTATTCCACCAAGGTATATTTCATCATGTTAGCTTCCTAACGCTTTAAACAACACGTCAATCGAAGTTTTGAAACTCAAGTTATGACACTTTAAAAATACTACTGATGTTCATTGCCTAGTGCTCGTCGGGCGAAGCAGGATGCTCTCTTAAGGCTCGCCAGGTGATGAGGGAGCGACAACACCATCCTCATACAAAACTCCAGGGGCTCTAGTTTCTCTAGTATTCATCGCCCGACGATGTATCTTGCTTTCCTGACGACCACCTCTCGCTTCGGCGTCGCTCGATGACGCTCTAGCGACAAACCACCTTCCATACAAAAATCCAGAAGCTATGTTTTTCACCTATTCCTTCGCCCCTTGCTATCCTGGAGCTTCTTGGTCTAAGTTCACTATCCCAACGATGCACATCCATCACCCGGCGATGCAGCGCGAACAAGACTTCCCTATTGTGATTTCTGCACTACACCAATCCAATTTTTACACGACTTCATCATATTACAGGTCTCAAATATTCATAATCCCATATGGTTTCATCAAATAACAATAACACAAATTTCCATACATCTTATGCATCAATTCTTTACAGGAAAACATCCCAATTTCACTAATTTATCATCAAACATCATAATAACACCATCAACCCCAAAACCCCAATATGGTCCTACAAGTATCTAAACCTTAAATCAGTTATAATAACAATGATAAACCCCCTTACCCCTTAGATTTCTCCTAGAAATTGATATCTCTTCGCTTATACAGAATTCCCTTAGCTCTTCATGTGCTCTAGTTCTCCACATCATTCTCTTCTTTTCACAATTGCACAAAATGAGACTATTTTCTCTATGTTCCTTGTTTAACCCTTGGACCCTTTCTATGGTCTTCCCATCTTACCCTCACTTACACCACAATATTGCCACCATGTTCTCATAGACTCTATCTATTATTATTATTCTAATTAATTAATTGTAATAATTTCAACTAATTATTTCTAATTATCTAAATTAGTCTTATAATGTTCTATGGCTTCTTAATTCCTACTACTTAATCATACACCACACAAAACATCATATCAAGTATCATGATCCTCAATACATCATATAAACACCACAAATATGTCACAAAAACTCATCATAAATTAATCAAATAATTAAATAAATAATCTAATTATTTTGGGGTGTTACACGGTGGCTGTAAGTTTTGAAAATTCAGACAAAGACATAGTGAGGGAGAGGTAAGAAGAGAGACGTTTTAACCCTAGCTGGACAAAACACATGTGTTTCATGCTTCTGGGCCTTTAATTCATTTAATTCAAAATAAATCAATAGTATTTAATAATAAATCTGAAAGTGGAAATTAGAAAATCTGAAGGCTGTGATTTTGTTTGGGCTTCTTATGCTTGGGCTTGCATTCTGTACATTGTGCTTGATCCATACACCTCCCTGCCTCACTCCCTTTTTTATTTCTTTTTTCTAATTTTTGCATTTAATTTCTTGATTTTTCTTTTGCATTTTTTCAGCATGATTATTCTTTTTCTTGATGACAAATGTGATATATTTTTAGTCCTGATTTTTAGATATTTTTCTTATTTTGTTCATAAGCAATTGAATGAAAATAGTTGAAAATGCCTTTAGAAATTAGGGTTTTAAGTATGTTCTTGAAGATTCTTTCACATGATTAAATTTTCTTTGCAAATAAACTACACGGTGAGTATATTCTGGTCCTCGAATTAATTAGGACCCCTTTGGCTTTTGAAATTTACTCTTGAAATGTCATGAAAATTGATAAAAATATGCTTGATGTCCACTTTAGTTTTCATGTGATTTATAGGTTCTGTTAGACGGTGTGGCAAGTGATCGAGAGGGGGGTTGAATAGATCACATCCTACTTTTTCAAGGATTTAAAATATTTTATCAAAGTTTGTTGAAAGCAGCGGAAAATTAATGTCCTAAATCAACTTCCGTCTATTTTGAACCGACTACTAGAAAACCGGACATGTGAAAAAACTTGCTGGATTTTTTTATATGAAATGGATGAATATACAACGCAGATTACTTAACGTTTTTAATGCACTTACCACTAAAGCAGTGTTTCCAATGAATTAAAACTTGTTAGGAATTTTTTCAAATACTTGACATATGCTTGTTTGATGATTTAATAATGGTAATTTGATCAAAGTATTTGAACCACTATTTTATCATTAAACATAAAACTCAGCAAGCTAATTGAATAACAAAATTATGGAAAATGTAAAGAGATAGAGAGAAAGAAAGAACAATACACAAGCAGTTTGGTAAGGAAGTTCTCCATTGTCGTCCTCACGTGTGGGTACGTCTCCCTCTCAATTTCAGAATTGAAACTGAGAACTCTTATAAAAATTTGATGAATGTTTGAATACAAGGTTACACTACACAGACAGAAATAAATCCTTATGATCTTCTTCTTCTTGTAAGAACCTCCACTTGATATGAGTTGTATAAAGATTCCCTGCAAGATCCATAATCTATTCTCCGCTTCCACGACATGTTTGCAAAAATCCCTCTGATTTCCAAACCCCTCGCTATGGCTGAATCCGACTTATGCGACCGTGACTAACAAACCCTCAAGAAAACGCCCGTTCTTGAAGGACAAACCCCTTGGTTTTTCCTTGAATCCCCCTTCACAATCTTTAACCCAACTTA